TCCATGTTGCTCAATTCGGAAGATGATCAAAGTCGGGACAATTGGGATCAAAAGTTTTAGTCAATAATGACTTCCCTCACAAAGTGTCATTTAGGGCAGAGAGATTTCTTTGGATGATCTGCTCAAAATTTGAGTATGTCATGGTCCAATATTTATCATACATACGTAACATGATATTAGAAAATTTAGGAATAGTTTGGGGATTTTTCAAACAATAGAAAAGGTAGTTGCTTCACAAGGTTCTAAAATGAGTAGAATGGATCTTGGATGATCACACCAAATTTAGTGAGATTATAGGTCATTATTTGGTGTTCTTGGGCATTATATTCACAAGAGAGGGTCCATGAGTATTTTCAAAATTTTGGAAACAAAAGAAAAGGGAGTTGCTTCACAAGGTGGAAGAGAGGTCAGACATGGTCTGAGGTTGATGGCCTCTATATTGGGCCAAACCTAGACAATTTCTTTGTGGATCTATTCCTTATATGATTATATCAAGGTGTGGTATTAGTTTCAGAATTTTTAAAGAAATATAAAAGGGTGTTGCTTTGGAAGGGTTACTATCTGGTGATTTCCTAAAATAATAATAATAATATATCTTATATCTTATATCTTATATCTTATATCTTATATTTACTAATTGGAGGCATCTTTCGAGTCTTTATGTTAATCCACATCAGCAAGATTAAGGTAGCCATTAGATTTAAAATTTAATGGTCCGGATTTATTAAAAGAGCGTACAAAATCTTTAATATAAAAACAGAATGTACAACCAACACGTACATCGAAGAGCCATCAACAGTCACGTTAAGTTTTAACCACCAGAAAATCCATGTGCCTTCTCCCTTTATGATTGAGAAAAAAACATACTATGAGTTTCCTCAAGCCTCATGTTAGAGTAGGAGTCCACGTCCCACTTCCCACGCACAAAAAAAGTAACCACGGGCCGCCTCCTTTCAGGATGCAAAAAAGGCACGTACAATGAGAACTCCACAAGCCCCACCATCCAGCGAACCAACATGTGGTTGGATGGTTAGAGAGACTGTGGTATCCCCAGCCCACCAGGATTTAAATCCTGGTGCTCGCATTTATTCCTGGATTTATTTCAGGATTTCCGGCGATGCGCATTCAGTGGGAGGAGACGTTCCCGTCGACGACGAGGCGCCTACGGTGACTTCGTAAATCTCTAGATGATATGCCGGCTCAGTCTTTCGGAGGTGCTCATAGGGGTAGGGTGTACGTGTGTGCGTTCATAGGGGTGAGTGTATGCGCGTGTATATGAGCGCTTGTGTCTGTATTGATGTTCAAAAAAAAAAAGCCCCACCATCCAAAAAAATCCACAAGCCCAATGTCATATTAATATTCCACGTCCCAGTTCCCATAGGAAAAACAAACATATTTCTTAGAAATAATAAAAAGGACGCATAAAAATAAATACTCCTCGAACAGTTCCCACAGAAGAAAAAAAACGTACATATTTCTTAGAAAAATTAAAAAGGACGTGGAAAAGAATACTCCTGGAGCATCATGTTCTAAAAAGACATAGTGAATACCTGATTGGAAAAGTAATTTTTAACCTACCTTGCCAAATGATGACCTACCTTGCCAGGGAATATAAATTTATATTCCCTGACCACGTACTAATAAATGATGACATAGCAAATTTATATTCCCTGAACACGTATATTAAAAGTTATTTATTATGGGAATTTTAAATAGAAATATTCCCTGACCATGTATATTAAAAATTTAATCTTACTGGGTAAAACAAAATTTCAAGTTTTACGATATACTCCACTGTTTAATTTAATACATGATAGATCCATTCTTTATGAAGTATAAGAATTTCATTACAAATAAAGTTAAAGGATGACTACTGCCCAATGCACTAAGAAAGAACGAAGATTCCGTAAATGGTAAAATTAATAATGGTATACATGTACACAACCCCCGAAAATCCGATACAAGATGTAATTTTTTAAAGAAAGCAATTTGGTTAGCTTAAAAGTATACATGTGGATATCTCACTAGATTTGGAAGTATATACCATGACTGATTTTTGTCTCCCTACTAAACGTATTCCGTCAATCCATCATCAAGTATTATTAAAATATTACTGAAACTCAGAAGATTAAGGTGAAGGAAAACAAACCTAAGGTGAAAGGACGATGACGTACTCAGGGAAGTAGGTGTCATTAATCCTGTGCAAATAACTCTTTTTGTTCCAAAAAAATTATTGCTCAAAAAGTGAATAGTTTTACACAAGTGCTAAGGAGTTACCAAAAAATTAATGCCAAGTACTTTTCAGGGGAAATTCAAGCAAATGGCCGTGTACCCTTATCAGTGTATGTTACCAAAATGTGCCTAATCTTGATGCCGATACAAGGGTTTATATTCAATTTATTAATTTGGCGAAAAAAGGCTTGATCAACTGAAACATAGTACAATTTCTTCACTATCATCATATGTGTCCAAAAATGTTTATATTATTTGTCAAAAATCCATTGTAGTTGACAATGTCATTGTAAGAGAATATTCTATTTCAAACTTCAGTATAAAACTAATCAAAGTACTTAAATATACATCTCCATATTTGTAACAGCCGCAAATGGGACATCATTTAAAATATATAGGGTATCCATTCTAGATTAAAATAATCACAATTTTAGTATAAAAGTTAACATGTGCATTAAATTCTATCACAATATAAATTATATACTATTCTATGAAAGTGCATAATAATATTACGATAGAACATTTTCGAGCCCGTGCTGACGCACGGGTTGATGACTAGTTTTCTTAACTCAAATGGAGTTGGAATTTCTGCGGATGATAATGTGGTCATAATTGACATGCCCAAAGAGTTTCTTATGTTTTGGATGCAAGAAAAAATACTTTGAATTTTATGGGTGGACAATGGACACAAATGGTATATTCAATATGGAAACATTGCATAACAATATGGCAATATTTTTGGAGAAGCGGGCTTCATATATATATATATTATATTTATATATGTTGATCTATATGAAATTGTTATGATCTATTTAGATATAATTATGAAGAACTAATGAATTTGATATGTTAAGATATGATCATGTAGATTTAACTATATGATCTATTCAGATGTGGTTACATAGATCTAATAAATATGATCTATTTTGATACTTTAAGATCCAACAATTTATGATTTGTTTGGTACAATTATGTCAATCTAGCGGATGCTATCTATTTAGGTAGAACTATAAAAATCTACTAAGTATGATATATATTTACCTACATGTATGTAGATCTAATGGATGTGATATAAACTATCGAATTAATTTTTGAGTTGTGAACTAACATGGTGACTTAAAAATTCTCCGTGTTGTGTTTCTAATATAATAGGTAGACCGTAGACAGATAGATAAAGAACGGAAATTGCTAATGGAGCTCAAGCTCCAAGGAGCCCTTAATTTGAGGATATTTTTTAAAAATTTTGTTTAAAAAGATCTAAAACAAATACACATATACAATACTACTTGTCTACAGAGAGTTTCATTGTGAATTACGTTTTTGTGCGAGCTGCGCAAAAATGACAAAATCACTTATTTCTAGCGCATGTATTATTCACTATACAAATATACATGATATTTTTTTGGCGTGCAGCTGACATCAAAACGTCTATGGTGATGAAATTACGTACACATCTAGCATACATCTATATTTACTTGTGTATTTAATTTCATCTATTTTAAAAACTTAAAAGTTGATTGTTTAGTTTTTGAAAATTTTGGACTTAGTCGAGCCCGAGAGCCTTTTCTATAAAATGGAGCCCGAGAGTAAAAATATCCGGTCTGAATGGATAAGGGATATACTTCCTCCGTCTCATAATATATGTAAAAAACGCTCGTAAAATGCTCATTTATTATGGGATGGAGGCAGTATATCACAATAAAAAAAACATATCAAATTGAATCTCAAACTCCGAGTTGGAAAATGGAGATCCCGTTCAGAAAGATTCGTTTAGAACGTTAGATCTCCTGGCAGCGTCTCTCTCTCTGTCACATGCTGCCCTCCACCCGAGTCAACCAAGGCAAGGCAAGCCAACGGACAGAAGTTATTCGCGGCATCTCGCTGCTGCTTCGCCCGGGCCGTTGCCTTCCTCATCCATCAGCTTGCAATTTATATGCTGCCAGCCTCACAAGTCATGGGGACAGCCGCGCTTCCCCACCATGGATACTCCAAGTGTGCCGCGCACCAAACACCAGCCAGCCGACTCGCATCCCTACTTTGTCACCTTGGATATCGCCAGTCCCTCCTCCTTGTTCGGAAGCTCATGCGGTGGCATCGACCTGCGGTGGGTGCGCTCCGTGGCCGCCGGAGGCATCTTCTCTTTGTTCCTCCTCGCGGCATACCTGATCGCATTCCCCTCGACCACAATATTCCATCACCCGCACCGATCCTCTGCAACCCAGCGCCTGTCGCCGGCCAGTCGGCCGCGCTTCGCCTACCTCGTCTCGGGTTCGGCCGGCGAAGCCGACAGACTGCGCCGCTGCCTCCTCGCGCTCTACCACCCTCGGAACCACTACATCCTCCACCTGGACGCGGAGGTGTCCGACTCTGAGCGCACGGAGCTGGTAGCCTTCGTGGCCACGCACCCGGTTCTTGCCGCCGTGGGCAACGTGCGAGTGCTGGAGAAGGCCAACCACCACGGGGGCATCACTATGGTAACCACCACGCTGCACGCGGCTACCAGCTTCCTGCGCGGCCCCCGGGCCGACTGGGACTGGTTCATCAACCTCTCCGCCTCTGACTACCCGCTCGTCACGCAGGACGGTTGGTACCACATATACGCATAACTGTTTCCATTTCTTCTGAAATAAACTGACTGCTCATGATTTCATGCTGGCATTATTAACCGCTGCAGATCTGATGGACGTGTTCTCACACCTGCCGCGCGACCTCAACTTCATCGACCACACGAGCGACATGGCGTACGTGCTTTCGTAATCAAATCGATTATGACGTTGACACTTGCATTGCGACTGAGTGCGGTTCTTCTTTCCAGGTCTGCGAGGGCGATGGTTGACCCGGGGCTGTACATGAACGAGACAGAGAAGCGGGAGTTGCGGCAGCTGCCCACCACAATCTTCTCAGGTATGCACTTTAGGCTGCCGCAGATGCATCCAATCGTTACAACACCATACTCTAGACAAAAATAATCATAATATATAGTTTAGATCATTGGAGTTATTTTGATACAGGTTCTGCTTGGACCGTGTTGTCACGGCCGTTCGTTGACTACTTGATCCGGGGGTGTAAAAATCTCCCGCGCAACCTCCTCGTCTCCTCCCCGGAGGCCTACTTCCACACCATGGCCTGCAACACCGAGGAGTTCCGGAACACCACCGTGAACCACGACATGCACTACATCTCCTGGGGCGGCTCCCCTGCGCGTCAACCGGAACTCATCAACTCCAGCCACTGGGACGGGATGCTCGGCAGTGACGCCCCCTTCGCGTGCAAGTTTGGCCAGGACAACCCGGTGCTCGACCGAATCGACGCAGAGCTCCTGTCACGGCAGCCCGGGATGCTTGCCCCCGGCAGCTGGAGCATCGGGGATACCGGCGGCGATGGCTCCTTCTGGATCGTGAGGGACGCGACGCCCCTGCGTCCTGGCCCTGGAGCTGCGCGGCTGCAGCGGCTTGTCACACCGCTCCTGTCCGAGGACAACTTCCGGCCTAAACAGTGCAAGATAGTCAATCACAGCGCCTGAGCCTGATCTGTGGGTACGACCGGCGGTGCTCCGTTTTTCTTTCAGGCTCAGCATCAGCAGTTAATAATTAAGCACGGTAGCTCTATGTAGTCAGGCACACACTAGAACTTTGGAAATGAGTGAGACGTGTCTTCTCATTCCGGCGCCAAGCAGTTGACATTCGAGATACACATATAGTATTTCTTTTCTCTTTGCCTATTTGTTCCTCTGTGCTGCGTAACATGACCTGCCCTTGAGCATTTCCCGAAAAAATAAAGAACATTTCCTAGAGATCCTAGTACTATATATAACGGACAGTCGTGTGTTTAGTAGCAAGTTTTTGGGTCTTAGTGCAAAACAGTGGATCTAATCCAAGCCAGTGCCGTACTAGTACCACCCAAGCACGGTAGAAAAGCTCTCCCTAGTTCGGGTTAACACAAGAACTACGATCTCTTGGACTCTCAACCCATATATACAGCGATACAGTTTAGGCAGCAAAACGAATTCTGACTTATTTTCGATGTTTTACTCAAAAAAAAAATTCTTTTCTATGTCAAGTGCGCCTCGGAGTTTTTTTTTTTTTTTGAACATCCGTACAGACGCAAGCGCTCATACATACGCGCATACACTCACCTTAATAAATTCTGAAATATATTCAGGAATAATGCGAGCACCAGGACTTGAACTATGGTGGGCTAGGGATACCACTGTCCCTCTAACCATCCAACCACAGGTTGGTTCGCGCGCCTTAGAGTTTCATGTCGCCTAGACCATTGCATCGTTTGTGAAGTCATGTCTGTACGTTCAGAATTCTTGACCATGTGCTTGAGCTCCAAAATCGTCAAGGAGTAGAGCGTAAGCTTTAATACCTTATCTGCTGATCGGTAGATCTAAGTTGGAATACCGAGAGAGGAGGTTTGAAATACCTCAGGATTTTCTGCAAACGAAATTCTCTCTTCCCTAGCCTCCCGGGTCGCTTCACGCGACTCCGGAGGCGCCGTCGCGGCCACCTCGGAAGCCCTCCCACGGAGCGCCGTTCACCACGCCGCCGCCGGAGGAGGCCGGCCGCCCGGCGGACGGCGGCGGCGGGGCATCTCCGGCCTCTTCTTTTCCTTCTGTTCTTCCCCTTGGCGGTCAACTTCCAATCTGGCCGCTGGCTTTAGGATCTGTCCATGGCTTGCCTCCCGATCTGGCGGCTACCTTGTGATTCTGGCCTTCCGATCTAAATGAAGTCCATGGCCTGGAGTACGGGGCTGGTGCGTGGATGCATCCACACGGCTGCTTAAGATGTGCACGTGCATGCAGATGCTCGGCAGCCGTCCAGGCGGCCGGTTACACATGGTCATGGCTGCCTGGAGTCTTGCTGTGCAGTGGCATGGTCGGGTCTTCACTGCTAGGCGGAGTTCCTGGCTGAGTGCGCCGGCGGCTAATTGTCGCAGTGTGGCAGATCTGCTTTGATTGCGTCACCGGGAATTAGATCCGGTATGGCGGCGGCCTCGCTGCCGACTGCGGTCACCATCAAAAGATTCTGAGAGTTTCGTCTCCGTAGATTTGGTGGTTGACTTCGGCGGCGAGATGCAAACTATGGACGAAGTCTTGATGCAAAGGGATGGTTGAGCGGCGGTGGTGGTCACATCACATGTAGCTGTTGGGATTGTGGAAAAGTGGTGGTGACAACACATGAATGACTTTGATGGTGGTGCTACTTGAGCACCCGGTCTTGAGCTCTGGGGTGAAAGCCTAGGTCTGACCCGAGTTGGGTATACCTGGCAATGGCGATGCTTTTACGTCGTTACCTTGTTGAAGGCATTGTTCAAAATGCTCGGACTGATTCTTCAGGGTGAAAACCTAGATTGTAGCCTTGGGTGGCTGGATCCGGTGACGGTGGCACTTGAGTGTCGCTCCCTTCTTGAAGGTGTTGCTGTTGAAGAACCTCGTCGTCCGAGTGATGTCATGACATGGTCGGTGCAGATATGGTCATTGTTATAGTTTGTCGATTCAGGATCTGATCGCTTTGGAGTTTTTTTTCCCTCGCCTACATGCATAGCTTTGGTCTTATATGACTTTGCTATTTGCAGGCGTGTTTTTGTGCGTGCGTTGGTGTTGACTGTGTGCATCCTAGCTATGCAGAGGCCGGGTGTGTGCTCATCATGTTTGTATCTTCTTGATGCTTTATTTTGAGTTAATAAAATCCACCCTTTATCAAAAAAAAAAGTTGGAATACCGAGTAGCAAATCTTAATGAGCAACCCAAGTCAACTTGAGCACTGCCCTGCAGACCCAAGACATCGGGAGACATAATTAACTTTCTCGTAGTCAATTCTGAATTAGGACTGCGTATTACAACCTGAAACAGTAGTACTAGTGTACCCGGGTGATGCTCCACGTAGCACCAGAGCTAGCTATCGCAGCGAATATCTCTAATTTTGCTAGCTAACAGATCCCCAAAAATTTAGAGGAGGGTACGGCCGCGTATCCTTCAATGGAGAATATTTGCTCCACTAAAAAAATGCGGTTTCAAACCAATCTATTTAATTCAACAGAGTGAAACCTTCAACACAAATCTAGATCAGATTCGAACTTGATTCGGTACAAACTTGATTCAACACAAATGCCGTGCAAATTAAATAAAAATTTGAGTAAAAACAAACTAATCTACTCACTATAGGTCTCGTTCTTGATCCACTCCCATCCTATTCGCTGAGCCCTCCGATGAGATGGCCATGTACCTAATATCTGGCACTGCGCTCATCGTTGTTGGCACCTGCCCTCGTAGTTGTCGGAGTCGCTAGAGAGGTCGATGATGTCCGTCCTCTCGGACGCGTAATCCTCGTAAAGCAAGCGCCCCACCTCGATGGGCGCAGGGTAGCGGCTGCAGAGCTCCGTCATATTATCGCTGCCGGCTTGCTCTGGCGCGAGCCGCTCACGGGCCCGCCGGTCATCCCGCGTCTCCCTGGGGTAGCCACCCAGGGGTCGACCAGTGCAAACAGCGGCAGGCCGCTGGGGAAGTTGGGCCGGGGTGGCAGCGAGGTACAGATCGACTGACTTGATGTCATATGGGCATTAAACATGCATCACAGAGTGGTAGAATCCCAGCCTGTGCCGCTTACCGGCGTCGCGATCCACCACCGGTGCTGCCGTACGCCGATTTAATTTGGCTCCAACGCTGACGGAGACCACGGGTCAGGGATTTGGCAGCGCTGGAGGAGGAGGATGTGCTAGTGCGTGAGGAAGCATCGGCTTGGTCACACTGATGGCATCGTGGATCCGTAGGCCAATAGCATGAGGAAATGTCGGTGTGGTGGTGCTGACGGCGTCGTGGATCCATAGGCCGACCGTTGGGCGGCAGGGAGCAAGGGCGGTTGGGTCCATCCATTGGGCGGCTGACTGGATGTGCGTAAGGGTGAGGGCGCGCCGATGTGGCTTAGGCGGCGAGGGTGTTTGCAGGTGAGGTGAACTAGAGTGGGGGATTTTCACTCCGCGACAGCTCGAGAGAGAGGATATTTAAGCATTGCGGCCTGTTTGGAGTAAAAAAATTCATCCACTAAAGCTTTTCGGGCTTCGCTTAGTTCTGTTTTAGAGGACAACCACATTTATTCTCCCCAAAAGGTTTTTAGGGGACCGTTTATAGTTTCCCTAATATGTTTGTATTGAAAGTTTGTCGCTATCTAGACCATTCTAACAAGTTTGTATCGAAAGTTTGTCTACCGCAAACATTAAATACTACGTATTCCCTCCATCTTAAAATAAGTGATAACTTTCTATTAAGTTTAGTACAATTGTATTAAAATTAAGACACTTATTTTAGGATGCAGAGAGTATTGTATAGGTATTGACTTAAATATTTATATGACAAGTTGGAAGCCTTGGCGGTTAAGGAAATCCACAGCTGGCACTGCTCAAAACTCAAAAGTCTTCCCTTCAATCAATCCTGGTAAGAAATAACAATAATATAACATATAAGTACGGACGAGCGTGATAAGCTATAGCAAAGCAATGGGGTACCTCCCCCCTAGACCTATTTGACCTTCACTTGTCATCACTCTCGTACGCCTCGATCAAAGCAAATGGGGCTAGATTCCTGGATCGAAGCCTCCAGAGGATTCTTAGCACGGGAACACATGTAATTGACTGTACACCAAAGCATCTTTCGCACAAAACGAGCAACTAAGTACCCCGGTACGGATCACAGATACTACCTCTCTAGCATAAACTACTCCGGTACGGATCACAGATATGCGAACCACAGCCTTGGCCGGCCGGTGCACGTACCGTCATGTGCAAGCTAGAGCCATGTCATGGTAGTGAAATGCTGGATCTGACTTCACTTTGATGGACGCCAAAGTTTATTGGCTGAGTAAGTTGACATTTCCCAGATCAATCGATGCAGTGCAAAAGATTATTCGATGAGTGTGGATGGCTATCCGCCGTGTCGGCATAGCTCCTGCATTTCTCCTGGGTGGCACATTGGCGCACACTGGCGACACTTGGATAGTACACTCCTGTGCGTTAGACTACCTATAGTTGGGAGTAATTTAGACTAGTAACACACATATATTACTAGTATATATGTTACTACCTCCATAGTGAGGACTAGGAAGTAATATATGTGTGTTGTCATGCAACACTTCATTTATTTAGTTGTAAACTCATAATGTCTTGGTATGTGTGATTTTACTCATAGTGTGAGAAACTAGATATGTAGTACTCAGTTTGTCTCTCTCCTCATTAATTAGCTGTCACATCATCTTTTTTTCTTAGGTGACATCTATGTTACTCCCACTATGGGTAGTCTTATTCGTGTCCTTGATGTGTGTTCTCGTGTTTTTTATTACTTTGGCCAGTTTCTAAGGATTTCTAGAACACCAAGTACCATTTAGCCATGTGCTTTATTTTGAGAATGAACAAAATAATTATCATGTGATTGGGAATTAAGATCAAGATGACAAGTTTCATGGTTATCATTATTCTTTAAAGCATACGTGTCATCACAATAATCATCATAGATAGGAGGCATGCTTT